AATTGAGGAACACTGAGCCCCTCCCGAACGAAAAGGGTTCCTTCTTCAGCGCCCCGACTATACATATCCACTGCTGCTTGGCCAGGCCCATCCTGAACCCAGCAGCGGTGTATACGCCACGCCCTCCTGGCTCGGCCAGGAGGCCGTACACCCAGCTCCTGGGCCCAGGAAGTGCCGGGCCAGGGAGCAGTGGATATGTGTGGACTTCGTCGCCCGACGAACTGTCCTCTTCGAGCACCACACATGCTCCGCGATGAATACAGCCAACGCATACTACAAGGATGCACGACAAGGATACAAGGGCCTTTGAAGGCCATGCCAGCACTCTTCGAGCAGGGCGCGGCCAGCGAGAGTGGCCAGGGATGGGCCGAAGGAGAATGATTCAAAAGTAACCTTCGAGAATCGTTCATCCTTACTACCCGTGTTGACGGCAACGGCCGGAGCGCATTGACCTCAAGTCAATGTCTGTTGTGCTGTCTCTCACCCCCACCCAAAAAAAAACGGCATGCAGTGAGCTCGCGCGCGTGCCCTTCGCATCGTGAGCCGAGTGAACAGACCTCGCTGCGCAGCGATGCAGACCCGCAGCCCAGATCCCATCGTGCATCGACCTCGAGCCAGCGCATGCGCTCGGCGGCGAGACCGGGCCGCCAGCAGGCGGCTGTGCCCCGAGCGGGGCGGCCTCTGCAGGCTGTGCCGTCTCGGGTTGGGGACCCCCTGAGCCCAGGAGGTGTGCCACCTCGTTGTGGGCGGCAGCCAGGGGATCTGAGCTCGACAGGCCCAGAGGAGATGTGTCAAGAGAGGGGGGGGATGAGCGCAGATCCGCTCAGAATCTGTCCCCAGGCCCCTCCCGAAGTCCACCTGGTGCAGTTTCTCACCTCGGACCCGTTCTTGAGTGTCCCCGGGCCCGAAAAACGGCCCCCAGAAAACCATAAAGGCAAAACATCGGTTCGAACCCAGAGCGTTGAACCTGACAACCCCCTCAGGCCCCCAGCCAACTCCAACCATCGTGGGCCTCGTGGGCGCATCTTTTACTTCCGCCAGCCCTCCGCCTGGCTTCCACTGGACGTTGCTCACTTGGTGCCCCGTCTGGGCCCCAGAGAACCCCTCAAGGGCCCATCATGTGCACCTTTCTCTTGCCATCGCTTGGACGTCCATTCCCCGCTCACTTTTCGGCGTCGTGCGTTTTTCTGTGGTGGAAGATGGTCCAGAATGCTCCACGGTGGTCCTCGCCGAGGGAGAAATGCACACGTCCGTGCGATGCCAAGCTCTTACGGCCGCACGCAGACGTGGCCCTCGGCAAGAGCGACCCTTGGTGCGTGGCTTCCGGGGGGGCGCGCGAGGGGGCCCACGCCGAGCGCGCTGGGCCGCTGCCGCTGCATCTCGTCTAGCGATCAGGCGGCACCCGTGGGCCCGTACTAAAGGTCACTCCGGCGAGGGATCACTCCTGCGCGTGGTCGGTGCTTCACCCCCGCATCGAGGACGCCGGCGGCGCATCACCAGCCGCTCCCTGGGCGTTTGTCGAAGTGGCGCGCAGCATCGGAAGTCGTGACGCGGCGCGTATACCAGCTATCCACAGCCAGCTCCCCTCAGCTGCAGCCCCCCGGCAGCTGCTTCTGAGTGCTGGCCCGGCCGTCTCGCGCGTGGCTCGGTAGTTAATTAGACAGGACCGTGCCCGGGACCCCCCTCTCGGCGACAGCTTTACGCGTCAGCCCGCTGACCAAAAAAATACGCTACCGAGGAACCCCACATACTGATTTTATGTCTTGTGTGTGCCACGCCTGCTATGCCTGGACGACCCTGGCACGCATAGGGAGACCACCCCCTGCGCACCCCCTCTGGTGTCGAGAAAATGCCACGCCTGCTATGCCTGGACGACCCTGGCACGCATAGGGAAACCACCCCCTGCGCACCCCCTTCTGGTGTCGAGAAAATGCCACGCCTGCTATGCCTGGACGACCCTGGCACGCATAGGGAGACCACCCCCTGCGCACCCCCTATGGTGTCGAGAAAATGCCACGCCTGCTATGCCTGGACGACCCTGGCACGCATAGGGACCACCCCCTGCGCACTCCCTCTGGTGTCGAGAAACTGCCACGCCTGCCGTGCCTTGGCCCGCCACGCTCAGGGACCCGCATACGCTGCCGTGCCCTGCGCCATGGCCCGCATAGACGCCGCGCTCAGGGACCACCCCCTGCGCACCCCCTCTGGTGTCGAGAAACTGCCACGCCTGCCGTGCCCTGCGCCATGGCCCGCATAGACGCCGCGCTCAGGGACCACCCCCTGCGCACCCCCTCTGGTGTCGAGAAACTGCACGTGCGTGCCCTGCGCCATGGCGCATAGACGCCGCGCTGGGACCACCCCCTGCGCACCCCCTGCGCCATGGCCCGCGATAGACTGCCACGCCTGCCGTGCCCTGCGCCATGGCCCGCATAGACGCCGCGCTCACCACCCCCTGCGCACCCCCTCTGGTGTCGAGAAACTGCCACGCCTGCCGTGCCCTGCGCCATGGCCCGCATAGACGCCGCGCTCAGGGACCACCCCCTGCGCACCCCCTCTGGTGTCGAGAAACTGCCACGCCTGCCGTGCCCTGCGCCATGGCCCGCATAGACGCCGCGCTCAGGGACCACCCCCTGCGCACCCCCTCTGGTGTCGAGAAACTGCCACGCCTGCCGTGCCCTGCGCCATGGCCCGCATAGACGCCGCGCTCAGGGACCACCCCCTGCGCACCCCCTCTGGTGTCGAGAAACTGCCACGCCTGCCGTGCCCTGCGCCATGGCCCGCATAGACGCCGCGCTCAGGGACCACCCCCTGCGCACCCCCTTCTGGTGTCGAGAAACTGCCACGCCTGCCGTGCCCTGCGCAGAGAAGGAGAGGGAGGAGAAGGAGGAGACGCGGGTGAGACGCGGAAGGGAAAAAAACCAGAACCCCACGAAACATGTGGGGAAGTATACCAGCTATCGCATGGCCTTCGGCCCATCTCGCAACCGTGCCTGGGTTGTGGGTCAGAGTCCTCGTGGGCGCTTCTTGGGGTCGGTTCGGAAGGCTCTCTTTGGGGGCAGTTTGGGGGCCTCTTGGGGGCCTCTTGGGGACCTCTTGGGACCCTCTTAGCGCCTCGTGGGGGCCTCTCGGGGCCTCTTTGGGGGCCTCCTGGAGGGAGCCTCCTCGGGCCTCCTGGGGCCGAACGCTCGACATGTTGGTTCTTCGCCCCCGCGTTATCGCCCTCCCCTACGCGGCGCCCGACTCTGCCGGGGGCCGGGCGCGCCAGGGGCGAGGCCACCGCCCCCCCCGCCAGTCATCCCCCCGTGCCCCTGCTGCGAAGGGGGGGGGCTTTATACAGCCAGCCCGAAGGCCCGGCACTTTGCGGGCGGGGCGCGGCCAGCGAAAGCGGCCAAGGATGGGCCGAATGGGGCAAGGATGCAAGGGCAACTAATGGAACATTGCTCATCCTCACTATGCGGGTTGGCTGTCGTTCGTGCGGCGTCGGCGCGGGCAAAGGGTTTTGACACCGCGTCGATCGGTCAATCTTGAGCCGACCGCGGCCCCGATGATTCAAGGTTGAATTCCGTTGGGTCTTGTGGCGTTGCCGAGCCCCTCAGTGCCTCCGCGTCGTCCCATCATGCGGAGCTCAACCTCGAACGCCTCCGCTGGCGTCGCTGGCGCGCCATCGCCGCCCGAACCTGCCGTGCAGGGCGACGAGATCTGTGCTCGGAGGTGTCCGTCCAAGAGGGGGGCGTCCGAGATGTGGGCTCGCAAGTCACGGGCCCGAGGCACGGGCGCGGCCTGGGGGGGGAACCAGGGGGCGCATCAAAACAAAAGGAGGCGCTGTAGAGTCTGCGGAGTGGCCCTGCATCATCGCCCCAATGCGTATGGGATCGAGTCCCCTGCCCCGCGCTAGATGGGTATGCTCGTGAGCCTCGTGGAGGCCTCGCGACTGGGATCGCCCCCCCCCCTTCCCCCTGGCGGTCGTGGCTCTGTGGGCGTGGCGTGGTGGAGGCTACCAGTGCTTCCACCCCCCAGTGGGTGTGGGGTGGCTCGTTCGTCGTCGTCGTCGTCGTCGCCGCCGCCGCCGCCGCCGCCGCCGCCGCCGCCGCCGCCGTCGTCGTCGTCGTCGTCGTCGTCGTCGTCGTCGTCGTCGTCGTCGTCGTCGTCGTCGTCGTCGTCGTCGTCGTCGTCGTCGTCGTCGTCTCCCACGCCATCTCGTCGGGGGGGGGGCTGTAGAACCCTGGGGCCCATCCCATCGGGGGGGGGCTGTGAACCCTCGATCAAGTATCATAAATGTCCACTGCTCCTGGCCAGGCCCATCCTCGGCGCAGGATGGGCGTTGCCAGGGGCAGTGAATTTGTATAGCTCTCGTCGCCCGGTATTGGGGGGGAACAGGCTCAAGGGGGGGAAACGTCGAGCTGGAATCGGCGATACATCGCCGATAGTTCGGCGACAGGCCCCCGACAGCGAATCCGCACGTTCCGGGGCGGGGCGGGCTATCGGCCCCTATCGGCGATGAAAAAACGGTTCGGGCTCGATGCAGCCCCCCCAGACCCTGCGGTCGGGAACTGGTGCTTAGCGTGTCGCGGCGGCGGCCCCGGCGACACGCTATGCCGTGCAGGCGGACAGCGTGGCCCTCCGTGGGGCGGGAGGCCAGGAAAGGCTCGGGAGGTTGACGGAACTGCGGAAGTGGTCAGCGTGTCGCGCCGATGCTCGGTGTTCCAATGCGCGGTGGGCCAGGACCGGCGGCGCGCCACGCTGCGCACAAGGTCTTGCCCGTGTCCCCCCCGAACGTTACCCTGAGGTCGGGCACGTCCTCCTACAGGCGGCTTTTGGAAGACATATAAAAACAGTAGGGCAAACCCAAACATACTCGAAGACTAATCGAAAAGTCGCCCCCCGACTATTTTGTGGACTATTCTCGAAGATCCCTCCTGCAGAGGGGCGCACCCGACTTAAACAAAAAACCACGTCACCCCTGGACGGCCCCCGCCCCCTGCGCACGCGCCGCCCCGGGGCTCCACGGCGCTGATCCGGTGGGCGTTGACGCCCACCTGGCCCGCCCACTCGCGCACGTGGCCGAAGATCCGCACGTACTGCCCCACCGCGAAGTCTTCCGCTGTCGCCTGGCCCCGGGGGGGAAGGTAACGCGCAGAGCTTCCGCGCCAGCGTCGGCGCAGACGGCCCCGTTTGCTTGCGTCGCTCGGCTGGCTTTTCTCCTGCCGGTCTCGGAAGGACGAGGACAGGGCGGCGAGCTCTGTGCTCACGGTCGGGGGCTCTGGCTCTCGGAGCGTCGCGGCGGCGGCCCCCGGCGACAGGCGATACCCTGCGGGCTGAGAGCGTGACGCCCCGCTCCGCGGGGGGGCGAGGCTGGGAAGAGCTCGGGGCGTTGGCGCCCGGGGACCAGGACGTGGGAAAAAGCACACACACACACACGTGGGACAAAAACACACAGAGTCTGTGGGAAAAGACACGGAGTGTGTGTTGGGAAAAACCACACACACAGAATGTGTGTGTGGGGGAAAAACAGAGAGAGAGAGAGTGTGTGTGTGTGCTTTTTTCACACAGAATGTGTGTGTGTGTGTGTTTTCCTACAGACAGTGCGTTTTTTCCTTCAACGCGTCGCGCTGAATCGTGGTGGAGCAGAGCCCGCGGCGCGACACGCAGACTTTTCCCGGCCGTGTGCGCATCCACCGCCACTGGTCTGGCCTGCCCTCCACCCGGGACAATGTGTACCTCCGTGGGCGGCCTCCGGCGTCGTCGACGGCGTCGTCCTCGTGGTCCTCGCTCTCGCCGTCGTCGTCCTCGCGGTCGTCGTCCTCTTCGTCTGCGTCCTTGTCGTCGCCGACGTCCTCGACGTCGTCCTCGCCCTCGTAGTCGACATCGGCGCCTTCTAGGCTTAAATCGGGCATGTCCCATCCACAGGAAGAGTACTCAATAAGAGTAAAAAATAATCCGCGCTCCTCGCCTGGTCACGGAAGCACGTGCGCCAGTAGATGGAGGATATATTCGATCCCTTAAAAATCGAGGGAGATTCTAAATCACCCCCACGCCTCCGACATCAAAGTTGATCTCAGTGAAGGCGGTGCTTTGGGGTTCGAGTATTTCTGTCCACTCACGCCCTCCCCGTCGTCACGCCATCGATATTCATTTCGGGGGGTCTGGGGGGCACCTTGGGCCACATGTTTCGAAGATAATGTCCACGCGCGGGCCGACCCTGGGCCCGAGATCGGCCCGAGGACAACGGCGACGGTGGCAGCGCGGAGGCGGCGACGACGATGCGATGAGCACGGCGAGGACATCAAAAGGAGCGACCGTGGCGCGTGTGTTGGCCAGCATGCCGAGCCCGTGTCGCGAACCTGCTCGAGCAAGCGGCGGCTGGAGGAGGAGGAGGAGGAGGAGGAGGAGGAGGAGGAGGAGGAGGAGGAGGGGGAGGAGGAGGAGGAGGAGGAGGAGGAGGAGGAGGAGGAGGAGGAGGAGGAGGAGGAGGAGGAGGAGGAGGAGGAGGAGGAGAGGAGGAGGGATCAGAGGGATCTGATGAACCGCCTTGGTCTGCAAGGCCCGCCACCTAGGCACGCATCTCGGACCTACGCCGAGAAGCACGGTGCCAGGCCAATGCCCAGCGCAAGCGAGGGGGATCCAGCATGGCGACGAGACCACAAGACCCCGAAGCACCGCCGGACGGGCGGACAATTCGAAGGGAACCCAGCACAGCGACGAGCGACGCCGGAGACCCAGGGAAAACAAAGCGCGCAGCACGAGCAGCTCCACAGATGCCCGCACAGAAATGGTACTCCAGACCGGCTTTTCGCCAGTGCTTAGGAGAACAGGCCCGTGTGAAGCAACCTAGCCGAAGGGACCTCGGGCCTGCGCCGAGACCCCGTGCTGAGCTTATGCCCAGCAAGAAAGAGCGAAGCGCTAGGCAGGGCCACCCTCCCACATTGGAAGAGTTGCCTCAGGCGTCAGGGGGCTTCTCGAGCATGCGGCCAAAGGTGGGCTGCCATTCCGCCTCCATGCCGAAGCGCTCACTGAAGCCCTTGATGCGCCTGATGGCTTCGGACCTGTCCTTGCCAATCGCCTCGATGCAGGTGCTTGCCATGGCATCGAAGTCCGCCTGAGTAACGGGGCAGCCACTCGCGTCGACCGCGGGCGACGCCATCTCCGCGGCGCCCTCGTCGTCCGTACTGGGGCTGACGGCGCTGCCCAGCAGCGGGAAGGGCGGGATCTCCGCGAACTCAAAATCGTCGTCTTCCTTCAGCTCACCAGCAGCCTTGCCGCCAATGCGACTGGGCTGTGGCAGTACTTCGCCAGCAGCCTCGCCGCCGATGCGACTGGGCTGCGGCAAGTGGATGGTCCGCCTCCAGATGGAGAGGGCAAAGTCCAGCACATCGCGGGTGTACCGAACCTCGCCTACGCCCATCTTCAGCTCGGACCCCGAAGCCTCTGCAGCCTCCGCAGCTGCTCCAGCTCCTTCTCCGTCTTGTCGATATCCTCGCTGGCCTGGCTGTGGAGCGCCTGCAGCCTGCCCATGGACTCGGCCGAGCGGGGAGCCTTCATGAGCGGGCCGAGGTGCTGGATCAGCTCGGTCAGTTGGTCCATCTTGGCAGTGGTCTTGTCGATCAGGGCCTGGAGGCTGGCACCAGCCTGAGCGGTCGAGTCCAATGGCCCCTCCAGCGCAGGATTGGCCTCCTTCTGCTTGTGGGTCTCCTTGTTCTTGTCCTTGTTCGCCTTCTTCAGCCTGGTCAAGAAGCTCGTCCACCGGTTGCTTCTCGTCACCGTCGTCGCTGGGGAGGTTGAAGAACTGGCAGCTGCCGATGACTGCTGCCTGCGAGTGTCCCGCATCTTGATGAACTCCTCCCTGTTCTGGCTGATGACCTTGCGCTTCTCCACTTGGGCGGCTGCGCGCTGGGCCTCCTGCTTCAAGAGGGTTTCCGGCGGAGCTGACCTCTTGCAGAAAGGGCAGCTCGAGCGGAACCCGAAGTTCACCACCTTCCGCTTGAGCGAGTCCGAGCATGGCGTGCACTCCCAAGGTGGCACACGCTGACCACTCGGCACCGGCTCCGCTTTCTTGCTGCCCTCTAGGTGCTTGTGGGTGCTGGCCTTGACTCGCTTCCGACGGCGCCAGCCCGTGGCCAGCTCCTTCTTCTTGGCTTTGGCCTTCGCGGTGAGCTGCTTCTTCACAGGTCTCGCCTTTGCTTTGGCCTTCACCCAGGGCCTGAGCGGTCGACGCGGAGACGGCGGCTTCACCAGCCACTGGTCCCCGACTTTGACCTTCCGCAGCGGCGGGCGCCAGCTGGACATGGGGATCCACCTGCCCTCCATCCTGTCCAGCCGGCCCGTCCTCGATGATCAGCTCGAAATCACCAAGGCTGTCTCTCAGCTCCGTCAGGAGTCGCCTGTCTATCAGGTGCACTGGAAGCCTCACTTTCATGCCGCCATCGCCATCGGCTCCGACGCGCTGCGCCGCTCCGAATCGCGCGCGCCGACACTGGGGTGCAACCACCTCCAGCCGAAACGGCTAGGAGGAGGAGGAGAAGGAGGAGGAGGAGGAGGAGGAGGAGGGGGGAGGAGGAGGAGGAGGAGGAGGAGGAGGAGGAGGAGGAGGAGGAGGAGGAGGAGGAGGAGGAGGAGGGTGAGGAGGAGGGGAATAAGGAGGATGAGGGCCCCTAGGAGCCCGACGCGGATGTCCGACTGTGCCCTCTGAAATTGGAGATCGACCGAATAGGACGGAAGGGAGGGAGTGGGCGGGACGACGTGAAACAAATTCGCCTCCCCGTCGACGTACCGGTGGACGTTGACGCGGCCGGTGCCATCGTTCAAGCGGAAGTCCTTGAACATGGGCTGCTGCTGCACCGACTCCACGCAAGCAACCTGACGGGCAGTCTGGGTACCGCTGAACAGTGAGACAGCGCCGACTGAACGTAACAATTTCTTCTTCGCCAAACCCTGCTCAAATTAGTTTTGAAACTGCCCCTGATCCTGACCGTAATTTAACTCGCTCTAAACCTGCCCGTGCCTATCCCACTCCTCCCCCCTTTCACTGCTGCTGCTGCTGCTGCCTGTCCTACTGGGTCTGCTGCTGCTGCTGCTGCTGCTCTTCCTCCTCCTCCTCCTCCTCCTCATCATCATTCCCCTGCCCTCACGATATTGCAAGCTCTCCAGAAGGACAGTGGTACGGATACCGCACTCTTTTTTTATCCATAACAAGATGGAGTTGGAGTGTACTCGCCCTGATGATGCCGAAAAGCATCAACATGTCACTCGAGCCAAACGGCAAATAGCCGCGACATGGGAGCCATCATACAAACGCCCCTTCGAATTTGATATATAAGTCGCAGTTGCCAATCATGGAAAACTTTAAACATGCTCAAGCGCACAATGCAATTTGGAAGACGGCTCCTGGATTGGAGGAAGGCCTGCGCAGGTCAAAATGTAGCTTTGCTTGTGACAACTTATCCGTGCGATGTTTGCTTCCTGCACGTATGCTGGGTCCTCCGATCAAGGGGCTACCGTGAGAGGAGAGGGGATGACCTGTCCGCTGAGCTGAGCAGCTCGCCCACGATCTAGCGCGCACGTGTTGACCCTTCCTGGTAGTTTCGGCCTGGCTTTGGCGCTCCATCATGTAGCCCCTGCCGCGTGGCGGCAAGAACTGGTCGTCGTCGTCATTGTCAGCGTCCGCTTTGTCATCGTAGGCGCACGCTCCAAGCCTTTCGGTTGCGAACGTCAGCTTCTTGATGGCCCCATCCTTGGTACCGCGGTCACGACCGACGGCTGCCCAGAACGCGCGGCCCATGTGACGCGGCGTGGCCAGCTCCTATTCTTTTCACTGCGCTTCCAGCACTTCGCACCAGAGCGAAGGGCCACCGACCACTTCTGCTCGCCAGAACGCAAGCTAACACTCGCACTGCATATCTTCTGGCAGGTGTGCCTGCCAGAAAATATGTTCGCCAGAACGCAAGCTGACACTCGAATCGGGGTGCACTCCATCACCGTCACGCCTGGACTTCATCGGTTTGAGCGAGTACGGGTCCAGCAAGTTCGCTTCAACGTATGCCTGTCTGACACCAAGCTGTAAATGATGCTTCCCCGCCTGCTGATCAAGATAAGCCTGTAGCCTCTCCCTCACGTCTAAGTTAGCGCAACATACTTCAACTCCATTGAACATTCCGAACTCAATGGCAAACTCCTTCGTGGGAAACGATGGCGCCTAAGTGCCTGCTGCGCACGCGCCGTGATCGTTCTGCATCGTCATGTCACTGTAGAAACACTTGCATGGACAACAGTCGGTCGGTACGCGTCTTCGAACCAGAATACATGTCGTAGTGGTCACGATCGTCGTCGGTGACGGGTTGACTGGCTACATCGTGCAGGTCACGGGTCAGCTAGCCACTCCATCCCACGATCTTTTGACGCCAGTAACTGCGAGCATCGGAGTTGAGGTGACTGGCGCACGGGACAGTGGCGGTAGATGGCTTCGAAGAGGCTGTGTTCTTCAAGTAACATCCGTGACCACTTCGGGCTCGCGATGTGGTCCGCCCTTCTTTCGGGGATCTACTGACCTGGGTCAATCCAGACCCGGGTCAGTCAAGCTCTGCAGGATCCTGCAAGATCCTGCAGGGTCCTGCAGGATCCTGCACCCAAGCCCGGGTCAATGCGACACTGGCCCTGCAGGATCCTTGAAGATCTGGCGCTCTGAGTGACCCCCGTTTGCATTGTCCCCCCGTCTCTTAAGCCCCGATTGTTGCAACCCCCGGCTCGACCGGCGTTGGCAGAGCGGGTGGTGTTGGGCACCCCAGGGGTGGCCCCACTCCCACTGGCTGGGTCACTTCCCGAACCCCTGGCTCCGGATCGCGCAGCTCCCTGACCGGGGATGGCTCTGGCCCCCTCGGTCGGTGACAGCGACCTCGAAGGTGGCAGCGTGAGGCTAGGACTGGACGATGTTGAGTGCGTCGGTCAGTCGTCGGCCCGCCGTCCTCACCACCGGATCACTGGTGTGGACGTTGGCGGTCTGGAGCCCGCGCTCCTCGTCCACAGCAGGAGGCCAGAGGCAGCTGGAGCTCTGCCCGAGGCCAGCCACAGACAGCCCAGAAGGGCGCCCACGAGGGTCGCCGAGGGCCCCGAGGACGGCCCCGTTGGCTCGGTGCTCGTTGTCACTCTCGTTCCGATCGCGGCCGCCGCTCCTCTCGGCTCCAGGTCTGATTACTGGCGACGGCTGCGCTGGCGGCACCTTCGGTGCCGCTCCGACGGCAACCGACGGCGGCTCACCGTTCAACTCGGGTATGTTGGCGTCGCCGTTGGCCGCGTTCGTTACGGTGCTGATCTTCTGCACCATGTCACCTACCGTCTGAGCGATATCCCTTACGTCTTCTACTGCCGCCAAGAAGTCTGGCATGTTGTTACCAGGAACCATGCTCGCTTCGTTGAACTTCGTTACACAATTGTCGTTGTGCTCGCCAGAGTTTACGACACGCTCTTGGCTGCGACTGATCTTGCCCAAAGTACTCAGCGGGTTCCTCATCTGAGAACATCTTGGAAGCAGGAATTAGCTAACCGATAAATCCAAAGCGTTGAGCCGAATGATCTCTCCAGCACTGTGCGGGGTCTGCGCTCGCTCAACTTCTGAACAAACAAGTGGTGATCGATTTGGAAGTGACTTCAAGCGGCGCCTGGACGTCACAACTAGAAACAGAACAAACAATTTCCGGGAAGTGCCTGACAGTTTCATCGAGTCGAAAAAACCTTTCAGGAGCGGCCGAAGTAGCCAGCACATGAGCAGATCTTGGACAAGAGACATCCCATGCAGTCAGGAAGGCACCGAGCAATCAAGACATCGAAGGCTGACGACGCCACGAACCCCGCCACCGCTCGGGCGCCCGCTCCCCGTGCCTCTGCCGGTTTCGTGCGTCTGTTTTCTTCGCAAGATGCGCCAAGATGCTCCTCGATGGTCCTCGTCGTCCAAAAAAACACGTTCCTCGATGGTCCTCGATGGTCCTCGTCGATGGTCCTCCTCGATGGTCCTCGCCGACCCAACAAAAACATATACACGGCCGAGCGATGCCGAGGAAGAACCCCCCCCCCGGGGCTGGGAGGTGGGCGGCGACGACAGGGGCGAAGAGTCCAGGGGCGGGCATGACACGCATCCGCCCGGGAGCCTTTTCGAAGACACAGATCCTCGGCGCACCTGAATACATGTATTGCTCTCCCCTGGGCATCGCTCGGGCGTCCATTCCCTGTGTTTTTTTCGGCTTCGCGCGTGGTTTTTCCGCCAACTCATCAAGGATGCTCCTCGATGGTCCTCGCCGAAGGAAAGATGCACACGTCCGAGCGATGCCAAGTTGCTCTCCCCTGGGCTATTCGCCTCTCTATCGTCGCCTCTGAGCAGGGGCCTCCTCCGAGGAGCACTCGGGCCTCCGGCGGGGGGCCTCCGAGGCCGCCAGGGCGTCCAGAGGCGCCGTCTGGGCGGCCCGCGTCCCTGCCCAGCGGTCAGCGTGCGGGCGGGCGCGTGGGGAGCGGGCCCGCGGGCGTGCGCGCGCGTGTGCGGGCGGCTGGGCGTTGCTCAGATGGGGGGGGCGTTGCTCAGATGGGGGGGGGGCGGTGCACAGGGGGGGGGGGGGAATGGATAGGAAAGCCTGAGGCAGGGAGCCCAGGGTCTGAAAGCCAGTGGGGTGGGCCGGCAACTGCGGCTCTGTCATGGATCTGCTCGCCGCCCTCACCAGATAAGGAAGCCTCCAGGGTCTGAAGCCCACTGGGCACATCTCCATACGAACGCCCCCACCGATGGGGGGGGGGCGGAAAAGCGACGGGGTAAGAGCCCAACAGGACGGGTCAGATCCCAACGGGCCCGTTCAAATCCCGACAGGTCATACAATCGGAACGGTTCAGATCCCAACGGGCGGAGCAACAACTCTATTAACACATGTTGTTGCGTAAATCATCATGGCAACGGAAAAGCCTAATCATATCCCGTAACAAGAACCGTTCGGTTTTCATCACGCGCTGTTGGGATCTCCACCGTCCCACTACAATGGCATGGGAGTTCTAGGTGCTCCAAGGCGGCCCCATAAGGCTCAAGGCACTCCACGACGGCCCTAAAACTGCCCAGGAACCCCCCAAGACGGCTCCAATAGGCCTTCCAAGAGCGCCCGACGAAGCCAAACGCATACATTTGCCGATGTTTTTTTTGAACGGTTTTGGCGTTTTCGCTGTTTCGGGCTTCCGACGGTCCCTGGGGCCTGCAATATGACATCAGTACGGCACAACGGGGGCACACGCATGGCGTCCAAGCCGGCACATAATTGCACAAGATGGTCCCCAACATGCCTCCCATGGGGCTGGAGGTCATTGGAGGTAGGACGAACGGACAGAAGGAATGATGGTGATAATAAGGAAAGCTCTCTGTCGCAGTCCACGTACAGCAATCCGAGGATGCCGGATTGGGTGGAAGGGCCAAGAAGGGTTGAGGAGGACACCCTCGATAATCACTCCGCATTCCTCCAACATCTGAACGACATCCTTTCTACGAATCCGACGGAATCCTCCGGAATCTTCCAGGACCCCGCAGGAATCCTCCAAGACTCGGCAGGGATCCTTCAGGAGCCAATAAGAAATCCTGCAGGAATCTTTCCCGGGCCATCAGGAGTCCTCAGGAGTACTACAGAATCCTGAGGGACCCGTGGAGGTCCATCGGGATCCTGCAGGAATTCTTCAAACATTCCACATGATCTTTCTTGAGCCCTTCAAGACTCCTGAGACAAAAGAACCCTACAAGAATCCTTCAGGAGTCCTCAGGCATTCTTCGGGCATCCTTAGGAATGGTGAAGAATCCTGGAACCGTTCGGATCCCCCAAGCACCTTTCAACAACCCGAAACAG